TAAAAATAATAATTGTATTTGTATGAATTTATTTTAAAATAGAAATAATATAAAAATTTAAACACATGATTCAATGTTGTTATTAATCGAATTACATTTATGACTTTAATTAAAGTTTAACAATCGTTACTAATAGAATCTCTTAGTGGCAGATATTCTTTAAATTGTTTATTTTTCATTTAATGTCTATATTTTGTTGGTTATTTTTCACTCAGTTTTTAATTCAAACCTGCTTAGGCCCAGTATTTCAGTAAGAGCTTAAAATTTTGGTTAGCATACCTAGGATAAATTTTAACCAATTTTTAACACCTTTTCACTTTTTTTCATCTGTTAACTGCAGTAATTGTGCCTGCGCATGTGCAAATGGCTAAATGTCATATAAAACTTACTTACTTACTTACTCCGTGGCGTTACAACCCTTCGTGGGTTTTAGCCGACTCGACAACATGCCTCCACTGTTTTCTGTCTTGAGCAACCTCCATCCAATTCTCCACGCCCATAGTGTTTAGGTCTCCTGCTATATTATCTCGCCACCGGAGACGAGGGCGTCCGCGTGGTCTCCTTCCAGTTGGGACTTCCTCCCACACCAGTCTTACTGTTCGTTCGTCAGAATGTCTTCTGAGGTGTCCTGCCCATTGGAGTCTTCTGGACTTTATTTCTTTTATGATGTTGGCGTCTGGGTAAAGTTCTTCAAGCTCTTTATTAGTTCTTATCCTATATTGTCCTGATGCTTCATCAAGCACCGGACCAAAGATCTTCCTTAGGATTTTTCTTTCCCAAACACGTAGTCTCTCTTCATTTGCCTTTGTTATCGTCCACGTTTCGCTTCCATACATCACAACGGGTCGTATGATTGTTTTATAGACCTGTATATTCGTACGTCGTGTTAGTTGTTTTGATTTTATAAGGTTTTGGAAGGCAAAAATACAACTGTTGCCGGCCTGAATCCTGTTGTTTATTTCTTGTGATCCGTTATTGTTGTTCCAAGATACTTGAATTCTCTAACGCGCTCAAAGTTAAAGTCATCGATGGTAATGTTCTGACCGATTCTGTCTCTGCTTTGGTTATTGCGGCTCATATACATATATTTCGTCTTGTTTTCGTTGATTTGGAGCCCCATCTTCTCTGCTTCCTTCTCAAACCTTACGAAAGTCTCCTTCATCCTTAATCGTGTGTTTCCTATTAGATCTATATCGTCTGCAAATGCCAGTAGTAAGTTTGGTCCTTCTCGATGAAATACTGTATTCGGTTTTTCGATTCTTGCACTTCTGATTATGTGCTCCAGAGCTAAGTTGAAGAGTTGTGGTGAAAGTGCATCTCCCTGTTTTAGTCCATTGTTTATTTCAAATGTCTCCGAGTATTGTTGTCCAACTCTCACCTTACATCGTAACCGTTCCATACACATCCGTATCAACCGGACTAGTTTTTTTGGAAAGCCAAGTTCCTGCATCGCTGTCCACAGTCTGTCCCTACATACTCTATCAAATGCTTGTTTAAAATCTATGAACATCTGATGAAGCTCACGATCAAACTCCCAGCATTTTTTCATTATCTGTTTTATTGTGAATATCTGGTCAATTGTAGAGCGGCCCGGTCTAAATCCGCATTGATAATCTCCAACGATTTCTTCTGTGTATGTTTTGGTTCTTTCTAGCAGGATGTTTGCAAAGATTTTGTAGGTGGTGTTTAGGAGTGTTATTCCCCTGTAGTTAATACATTGCTATATTTTATTGCATATAAAACTTGCCTGTGTGAATAAAATCTAAATCACAGTCTGATGTCATTTCTGTTCTTTTTTCGCCCAATATATTAACCCATGGTACAATTCATTGTACCATGATATCAACTGGTGTTTCTTCGTTTGGCTTTGACAGACCACTACATGTGGCTGTACAGTATTTTTTATCATTTGCATGGTTACGTCACCGAATAAATAACAATCAGAATGCCCATTCTCAGATGCCGCCTTTGAAGTGTGTCCTCACGCGACCGCCATATTTTAAACGAAAATATAGTCTTGGATTGAGAAATTTGTGGCAAGCTATGACAGAACTGTAATTTAAATTTTTAGAGATTAATAATTTAGTAAACTTGAAATAATTTAATCTATTCTTCAACTGAAAGTACGAATAAAATAGTTCATGTTATGTCTATAGTTGCCGTAAATAAATTAAACCGGGTTAATTTTTCTATGCATACCAGATAAAATGTCACTGAACAGCACTGGTTCCGTTTAAAACATGGCTGATTCCGTCTGTGCGAACGAGATGCGCGTACTTATCTTTTCAAGCAGAGTGGGCATTCTGATTGTTTATTATTCTGTGGTTACGTAATACAGTTTTTTTAATTTGTCCACTTCTCCTTTAGAATTTTTGCTGAACGTGGTATACCAGTAGTAGATTTTCAGTTAAATTTATTGGCTAGCTCTTCCCATTAATAGAACTTTAGCTTATTGCTTATCACACCAGTTTCTTTACATTCTAATATTTTTTTTTTCACCAATTCTACCAATAAAAAAGTAACTTCACTTTCAGTGAAGTTTTTGGATCACATTCCAACGTTCATTTGTCCTTTCATAATGAATGTAAAAAACAAATAATGAAAAAATCAACTTATTTAATAATGCAAACAATCTAAAACATAATAATGTAAAGATACAGGTTACAGTTATAATGTATTTAACGAGGTAAAATAATTCGCACGATAAAAACAAAATAACCTAACCTGTCACTTGTCAGGCAACACTCTGAATCATGGACGTATAAACATAGATGGACACAGCAATAAGATACCTTTAACACACAATGTTTTGAAGCTTCGATAGAATGTGATGCTTCCGCAATGAGCATAAGCGTGCTTGAATTTTTTATTCGCGGGTAATTATTCAAATTTTAAAAATTGGAAGTAGTAATAATGTATAAAAACACGTTCAAAGAATTAAAAAAAAAACGAGAGTTTAAACTATTAACAAATCACGTCTTTATAGAAAAATTAAAATACAATTTTATTTGCTTTAAAATTAATACAACAAAATATAGTTGAATTCAAGTTAATTTTTAATAGGTATCAAAATAATGCTACAATAAAAAATCTTTGTGTTTTCTCCTAAATTTGCTACCAAAATAGTTCGATCGTCAATATTATTTGGAAACCTACATAGAAAAATAAATGAGTTTTATTTATTTCACTAATTTATTTGCATCCATGAGAAATATTAAATTAAAAAGGTACTAAATAGATCTTTTTTAATCAGTTGATGTCTACTTACAATTTAAAAATGTCTACTAATTTCATGAACTTATATCTTATTTTTTAATACATTAATTAACATAAATAAACCCAATGGTACGCCTATTAAAATGTAAACAAACACGCTTCCTCATTTCCTCATCTTAAATAATGTAAATTTTATGTACTTACAAATGAAATGAGAGATCGGGATGTAAATATTTCGTTTATTTTATTTTACTTTTCACAAATATCACTCAAAATACAGCCAAAATATCGAAAAACAACTTTACTAAAAAGTAAACAAACATGGAACAGCATTTGAAGTTTGACGTAGATCCATAAGACAGAGAAATGTAAACAACCGTTGCCATTTATAAATAGTTTTCAGTGCTTCTACATATAAAATAATTGATTGATATCTGAATTATACGTTATTATTAAATAATAATGCACACTATGTGCACACTTTATATTTTGATTAAAATTAAATATATTGATCGAACCAATAAATTATTATTTTGGTTCGATAGCACCTGTAGAGTATAATATATATATATATATATATATATATATATATATATATATATAGTCCCAAGATTCCTAAGAGGAACATAGGGCTTCCACAAAGTGTCTCCAGCGAACTCTATTTCTGGCTAGAGTATAAAATACGGAGTAATATTTTCAGCGACTCGCGAATAAGAAATTTTAAAAACAAAACGTGACAACAGTTGAAGGTGCTGAGAATGTGACCTATTCAAATAATTTTGACTTCACAATTTTATGTAAATAACTGAGTCCATCTGTGTTTATACGTCCATGCTCTGAATAATGCGTTTATTGTACCTATGCGCAGGCGTAACCAAAAAATTCTAGTTAACCCATCTAACGAGTATTGGTTAAAATCTTACTCAATTTAAACGGGTTTAAGCAATAGTTTAAGTAGTACTGAAAAACTGATTTAGCGCAAATATTTCGGTGACCAAAAATAAATAGGTTAATCCAGACTGAAAAATTGGCCCTTAGAGTAGAATAGAAACGAATTAAACGAGAGTAGTGAATCTGACGAATTTATTGGGGCATAACTAGAGTCTGACAAGAAAGCGTGAGTTACATTCTCGTTTGTAATAATTATAATATTATAATGTGTAGTTATTGTTCTTTTAACAAGTAATATTCTGATTTAAAATCACTATTTAAAAATAATTTAAATAAAAAAAATCGATCATTTTTGTGCATGGGATTACGCAATATTGATACAATGAATTCGATAAATCTTAAGTTACGTGAAATTTCTGTTAGCTTTATAAATCATATTTACTGCAATTAAAATTTTTTCTGATTGATTATTAAAAGGATATAAAGAATTATCTAAAAATATGAAATAAATTTTATAATTTTTTTTTATTTAATTTATTAATTATTAATTTAATAATAATTAATAATTAATTTATTAATTAAGGGAAAGATTATTCGTGGGTTATGAATATATTTTGAAAGAAAAATGTTCATATAAAAAGTTCACAATGAGAAATAGGAATATTTCTTTGTACTAAGCATGGTAAAATGAAAAATAACATAGAAAGTTGATGCCAGTATCAAAGAAGTATAATATATAGTTAAAATTTAAAAGAAATTATAAAAAACTGTATGTAACATACTGAAAAATGAGGAAAATATTACGATAACGTACATTAAGCCGTGTACTAAGAAAATATTTCATGATATTGATATTGACACTATTAATAATATTAATTTTTAAGTAAACTTACCTTCAATGGTATAGAATGTAAAAAGTAACAAAAGAAAGATGTAATTTTTCATGGTGATTATTGGCCTTCCTAAACAAACCAAGTTTAATAAATTATTAATTATAATAAAATATAATAAAAAAAACGTCATTTATATCTACATTGTTAGATTACTTTCTAATCAAAAAATCTTAGATATGTTCATATTGAGGACTAAGCTGATTTCATTGTTTGCTAATAGAGATAGGTAACAAATTTACAAAAAATATTACTTTGATTTAAAACAATCAATAATTGATTTAAGACAGTTAATAAAACTAGAAGATCGATACATGAAATATTTAAGTTAAGGTTTTAATTTTATTTTAAGACTTGTTTGGTCCGTTTAGGCTGTTATTTTAATTGTTGAATCATAATAATAAAGATTCCCAAATATCGAAATTTACTTTATTGTTTGATACGGCGAGTACTTTCATCGTATTTGTGCAGGTGCTCAAATTCATAGACGGGGAAGGTGTCCTTGACAGTGTAGCACTCAAGATAGGTGCTCGTAAGTGCTGTGGATCAGGAAATGTGATTACAGCAGGCATGTCAAACATGTGGCCCGCGGGCCGCATGCGGCCCTTCAGGCATTTTCTTGCGGCCCGCAGCCCGATCATATCAGGTAATTTTCTGCGGCCCACGAAGCCCAACCCAATGTATGTAGTACAATAGTTAAAACATTTTATAAGAACGCATGAAAAGCACAGGGGCAGAAAATGGCTGTGCTTCTCTTCCGCACGCACTGCAACTGCAATACTTGAGAAGTATAGGTTATTCCACGAATATACGACTGTTTGGAATTATTGCTACAACGAATATTTTACTGTACAAGTAGAAGTATGAAAGTAAATTGGTCTAATTATTATTCCATAAAAAAGGATCTTCTGTTACTATGACATATAAACTAAAATTATTTCAGTTAGTAGATGTTCAGATAGACGCAACATTTATTGTGAAGATTAATCCAAAATAACAAAAAAATTTACGTAAATGCTCCTACAAATAAATACAATGACCTCTATGAAGTTTTAAATGTGTTCATCAGCCATTTGGGTTGAATTTCGGTGAAATGTAAACACCAAAGAGGCGCGCCGGGTATCTTTATTACTTTATTAGGTACTAAAACGGTAATAAAAACAAATATATTATTTTTAATATAAATAAAAAGAAATTGGCAGAACGATGGTTCAGAAACCAGAAAAAGAATCTGGTATTCCACTTTGTTAGTTTTTTGTTTGCTTTGAGTGGATATACTCTTAAAAGTTCCGAAAGTAACGGGTATAACATGGCGGCTATTGATAGTTAAAGTACCGAGTCATTACAGATATTTAAAAGTAACGAAAATTTACATACAGTTTCATAAATCGCCGACTGATTTTAGTTTTAAAAACCGTCCGTATAGAGGTGTCCGGTGAAGAGACGTGTCCGTTAAAAGAGAGTTTACTGTAGTGTATTTGTTTGTAATGGTGATTAGGAGAATAAGAGTAAGAGTAAGTTTTTTGTTTTTTTAATACTTAATAAATATTCGACTAAATAAATTAAACTATTTAATCACTTAAGTATTGTTACACTTCGTTTAAATCACTTAATTCAAAAACCAACTTGTTTACAATACTAAAGTCAATGAGAGTAATTATACGAGTATACTTCAAAATCTGAATTACAACTATTCTATAAACTATCAATTCTATATTTAGATCATAACTTCATATTTAAATCTAAGGTGTATATCTGTCATAACAGTATTTTAAAAATGGGGAGAATTTACCATTGTACAATTCAGCACATTGGACCATTTAAGTCGACACCTTAAAGCGAATTTAAAACAGTCGTATATTCGTGGAATGGAGTATACATATTGTGATTGTTGGAAATGTCTTGTGAGACAAGGGTCTGGTAATAAGATGATAAAATTTTGGGCGAGGCTACTTAATCCCTGCGCCTGCGCCAGCCTGTTGCTATGCTGAAGGCGGCAGCGCGGCAGGCGGGCGGCCAGTAAGTAAGAATGTAACCAACCAACCAGAAAGAACCAGTTGACGACCGATCGACATCGACGCGCCACTCTGTTGTGTTTTATTCTGTGATTTTATTTTATCGAAATAGCGCGCTACCTACTGTTTGTATCGAAATAGCAGATTGTTTTTAGAGATTATTTATGCCACTACTACTGTAAAATGTTTCTTTCAAAACCAAGTGGAAGTAAGAGGAGAATCACAGACGAACATCGAGTATTTCAAGAAAAATGGGAGTTGGAGTTTTTTGTGAGTGAAAGTGAAAGACAAAATTATTTGCCTGATTTGTAACAGTACAGTGAGTGTCCCTAAATTATACAATATCAAACGTCACTATGACAGCACAAAGCTAAGTATAACCAGTATGTGGGGGCAATAAGAAATGAAAAATTAACCGAGTTAAAAGCACGATTAACAAATCAACAACTCATGTTTACACGAGCTAAACAAGAAAATGAGTCTGCTCTTTATGCAAGTTATAACCCGACAAGCGAGAGCTGGCGGGTTGGGCGTAGAACAAATTGAAAAGTGGAAAGAATTGCTCATTTCTATTGCAGTCGGCTAGGAGTTCACATCGTGTATAACCGTTTAAGTACCTATACTATATACCTATAATCGCGATTAAGTACCTCTCCTATCTCTCTTAGAATAATTCCTTTTCTATTTTCGCGCAGCTCACCCGCCAGCTCTCGCTTGTCGGATTATACGTACTTTCAACATTAATCGCCAAACACTCAAAACCTTTTGCTGAAGGTGAATTTATAAAAGAGTGCCTCGTGAAAGCCGCAGAAATTGTTTGTCCCAGAAGCGTTAAAGCTTTTCAAAGTATATCTTTGTCGCGGAATACAGTCGCTGAAAGAGTCACTGAGTTGGCTAGTAACATAAGCGATCAAATAAAAATGAAATCAGATACTTTTATCCCATTTTCAATTGCCTGCGACGAAAGTACAGACGTGTGTGGTGTGGCTCAACTCGCTGTTTTTTTTTTCTTGCTGTTGATAAAGAAATGAATATTTATGAAGAACTACTGGAATTGGTGCCTTTGCATGACACAACGACTGGGGAGGATATATTGAATTTATATGAACTGCTACAACGGTATAATTTGAATTTATCAAAATTGTCTTCTGTTGCAACTGAAGGGGCTCCTTCTATGACAGGAATAAATAATGGCTTCATTAAATTATTACAGACCAGAATTAAGGAGACATACAAAGACATACCAGATTTTCACCACGTTCATTGTATAATACACCAAGAAATCCTATGTTCAAAAGTGATAAAGATGGAAAGTGTGTTAAAAGCAGTAAAAAAAATTATTAACTTTATAAGATCACGTGGTTTGAATCAGCGACAATTTACTGCGTTTAAATAATGGGCGAATAAGTGGGCTTGCCTTATTATATGGAGGTGCGGTGGCTTTCGTGTTCTATGGTTCTAGATCGATTTTGGAAACTAAGAGAGGAAATACGACTTTTCATGGAAAGAAAAAACCAAGATGTCAGTTTGCTGTCCGATGTATCGTTTTTACAAGATCTTTCTTTTATGGTAGATATCACAAAACACCTATCAGAGCTAAATACAAAGTTGCAAGACCACGTCAAATTATTACAGACATGAACGATCAAGTAAAAGCTTTCAAGTGCAAGTTATTACTGTGGGAAAAGCAGTTAGCAGTTAATAATTTGTCGCATTTTCCGACATGCAAGGACTTCCAAGAAAATAGTAGTGTCGAAATTTCGTATAATAAATATGTCGAGAAAATTAGAAGTGTGCAGGTCGAGTTTGAGAGACGTTTTCAAGATTTTAGACTTCAAGATGCAAATTTTTCCTTATTCACAGGCCTTTTCTCCATTGACATAGAAAAAGTTCCCGATCACTTGCAGATGGATGTCATTGAAATTCAATGTCAGACTCACTTGAAACAAAAATTTAATGATGTTGGTTCATCTGAATTTTATAAGTACCTACCTGTCCAGTATGAAGAACTACGGAACTTTGCTTGCAAAGTAATATCAATGTTCGGAACTACCTATCAGTTCGAGCAATTATTTTCCTTAATGAAAGGAAATAAATCACCTTTACTGAAATTGATTTCAGCAGATAAATTTACTCCTCAAATAGATAACTTAATTAAAGATAAAAGGTGTCAGATTTCAGGGAAAAAATTGTAATTATTGCAACTTAACTTACCTACCTGTTTTGTTCAATTATTTACTTTTATTATGTAATTAAACTATTAAACGATTGCTGGACTATCTTTACTATACATTTTTTTTTGTTTGGCCGAGTCCTGCGGTGCGGCCCATTGATACTGTGATCATTTTAAAAATGGCCAGCTAAGTACTTTTAGTTTGACATGGCTGGATTACAGATTATAAAGGCCTGTTCAAACTAAATATATACATATATGTATTAAATAAATTATGGTTTTGAAATCTGTACTGCAGAATGATTATAAAATTCACCATTCATGTACCAATTGTTTTAAAATTGAGAGAAAAAGAAGAATATCAAATCATATAACATATCTCACATCTCTTTCTAAACCGTAGCACTCAAAATATTGAAATTTCACTGGAGAGCAAAAACACAATATATGTTTTAGTTATTTAAGAATATATTTTCTATTTTAGTTAGTATAAATCCAATTTTTGTATCAATATTTTACTTGTTACAACTAGGCTAGAGTAACAAAGGAAAACCAGTTAATAAAAGAAAATAACAACTAAAAACGTCTTTTTGATTTAAAATAATACAGTTTTCGTCTATTTCTTGAATATACATAATTGCTTTATCTTTTACATGTGTCATAAGAATAAATTTATGAAGAAATTTTAATGACTTTTATTAGCAAAATAAAAAGTAATAAAAAGTTGTAACCAACATCTAAACTCAAACAAACCTAAAACAAAGAGAAATAAAAAAAATAACAAACTTAGTAGGTATTTAGTACCTAATTCTTTTTAAAAAGTATATGATTTAGAATAGCGTCAATCTCTTTTTCCTTTCGAGGTAGTACTTCTACTAAATGCAAGTCACCGTTGCATTTTAGTAATCCTTTCCTTTTTCATCAGACGTTTTATACTTGAGGCATAAGCT